TTGGCCTTGGGTGCGTAACTGTCAATCTTTGGATTACTCCTTCTAACCTACAAGAGTAAGCCAGATGTAATACTCTTCATACATGTACAAATGTGTTCTTTGAGAGGAATGAACTGAGTTTGACTTTTTCATTTTGTTCATTAAATTAACCAAATGAATAAAATCTGTCAGCGGTATGTTGATCTGAAGCATTGAAAGTAACTAGTTTCCCTGCTTCAGAAATTAAAAAAAAACATCTTTTACTTCAACCTGAGAATAAATGATGCTCCCTTTTTGTTTTTTTGGCTGTGCATCTTGTATCAAACTAGCAGGAGCCTTAAATACTTTCCTCCTGAGCTATTTTTTTTTTCTTCAATGTTTCCTCTGAATCTCTCTGCTCTTGTTCTGAAAACAGTTTGGAATTTTCCAGCCTCCGCTGAAGGCAGGGTGTAACAGGCTCCCTTGTAGTCAGCTAATTTCATATAATAAAACTCCTACATGTGTTCTACAGTCCCTTATTCAAGCAGCTACGGAAGCTTGCCTGGCAGGAGAATAGGAAATTAAACGCCATCTTTCAGGGGCTGTTGCCGTTACCTATACTTTCCTCACAAAGGTTAAGTGGTGGCATATATGGGGAAAGAAATTTGAAGATAATTGAAAGAAAATTGCTCTAAAGGCTTTTGGAAATGGATACAAAAAGAAGGCTGTGTGAGGCAAACTGTTAGCTGCTGCAATTCAACAAATCTAGGTGCAATACATGACTGAGAGAGTGGAAGTAGATGGAGGCAAAGTGGTGAATGCATTGGTCAAACCTTTGTGATTAATACTATTTGTTCTGCAGTCTACAAGTGGCTCTATCCTGCTCCAGATTCAATTTTCATGTTTATTGGTAGGCTCCCAGGTATGGTTAGTGACATCACAGCAGGTGCTGCCCAGGTAGTTGCCAAAACTGTGCCAATTTTCTGTTTCTGTCGTCTTCCATTAGTCTGGCTCGTTAAAGTGAGCTGTGGTGATATTACTGTGCGACACTAACTGTGATAATTACAGACCAAGCATTGAACTGGCTGAGGCACAAATGCATCCAATCACTGCATTGCAGGTTTACTCTTCTAAAAGTAAGAAAGTGTGGCTGAACCTGTACAAGGCATTAGAACTCTGGGTGTGATCTCACAGAGTACAATTTTGGTATCCTTACTTGAGAAATGTCGTTGCATTGGCGGCAGTTCAGAGGAGGTTCACTAGATTGATTCGAGGGATGAGGGGTTTGACTTGTGAAGAGAGATTGAGCAGTTTATGCCTATGTGCTGGAGTTTTGGAAAAATGAGAGGACATATAATTGAGGTGTATAACATGCTGAAGGGTATTGTCAAAGTAAACGTAGAAAAGGTGTTTCCTTGTGTGGGGCAAACTAGAATGAGAGGTCACAGTTTTAAGGTAAGGGATAGCAGATTTAAAACCGACGAAAAATTACTTCTCAAACTGTCTTGAATCTGTGGAATTCACTATCCTGGAGTGTGGTGGATGCTGGGACATTGAGTAAATTTAAGGAGGAGATGGAAAGATTTTTAAATTAGGAATGGGTTGAAGGATTATGAAGAGTGGAATAGGTGCTGCCAATTTACTAAGAAATACAAACAAATTTAAGATAAATGTAACTAAAAATTAATTTAGTGTTGTAGTTAAAAGAGGGTTTAGAAGAAAACACCCACCAGTAATTTTGGACACACATACTCCTGCCAAGCAATTTATTCCATAGATTTTAAAAGCAGAGTAGAAGAAATTATAATTAGGTTCAGAAAATGACAATTTGAGAAATGCACAGAACAGGTTAGTTAACCCTCCATTTGCAGTCTCTGAAATTGACCCTTTTGCTGCTGTATAACTTAATGTGCAAGGATTAGGGTTAGGAACATTGTTAACATTCAAAATTGAAGAATATTTAATGGGAATTTTGACATCACTGTGGGTTACTTGCATATGAATGCATATGAATACAGTGTCTGAAGACCTCCCTCTGCTAGTTGAAATGAATCAATACCTCTGCTAAAGGAGAGAGAGGGAGGAATCTTAATCTATGTAGTAAAGCATTCGTGTGCTTGTACCCTGCGACATAATTTCAGAGTATATGTTCCCAAAGCAGGAAAGGGGCACCGCAATATGTAGTTGCACCTATGATATGGATCTTTTTCTTGTTGGCAAGCTGTAACTATTGGGGTTGGTCCTCAGGACCCCACTACTAACAATCTATATTCATGGCTTGGATGCAGGGATAGAATGTACTATCGCCAAATTTGCAGATGACACTAAGGTGGGGAAGTACATGGCAATGAAGTAGTAAGAAATTTACAAATGAATGTGGATAGTTTATGTGCATGCGTCATAATTTGACAGATGGCGTTTAACATGGAAAAGTGAAAAGTTATCCATTATGGTCAGAAGAATAAAAAGGCAAGTTATCTAAATGGAGAGAAATATCAAAATGCTTCAGTGCAGAGGGACCTGGGTGTCCTCATGCATGCATCACAGAAAGTTAGTCTGCAGGTATAGCAGGTTATGCCAGCAAATGGCATTTTAGCATTTATTGCTAAAGGAATGGAGTA